AACTCTTATAAGATAGAGGAAGTTCAGATACCTGTAAAAAAAAGTATAATATAAATTACTATTTAAAAGTAAATAAAAAAACGAAATTGAATGTATTACTCATAAAAATTATTTCATAAAATTAACTAAAATATATGATTACCTCCTTATTGCTAAGAGACGCTATCGTTCGATTCTTCTTCCTGGGATTTCCCTCATATCTTTGAAATATATACCGATTCCACGGTGACTTACGACGGAAAAGAGTAGCGTGCTTCCACAAAAATTCCTAATAAGCAAATAACAGATATTTTCTAGACAAAGGTTAATAAATATTTAAATGTAAAAACTTATAAAATATTTAATCTTACATTGAAGAAGAAAGCACAACCACCAATTTTCTCACGACGACGAATATGAAGCACTTTCCATATTACTAAAAATTTGATCAAATATATATTGTGATCAATTCAGACTAGGAATATCCTCCAATCTCTCTAGATAATGAAATAACTTTAATGAAATCATTATTTTGGAAGTGGGAGTCAAGAAACATGAACATAATAAGCAAAATCACAGACGACAAATGTCATTAATATTCTCTTCTTCGTAATTCATAGATTGAACAACAGATTTGAATTCATCCTTTACCATAGCACTGTAATATTTTATCAAACTATTGTTAAAATTTATTAAGTTAATAAAAATAAAGTATAAAAAATAAATTAATCACCTAGTAACTTGTTTGAGAAGTACTTTCGTCATAGTGGAGTAGCATAATGAATATCATCTGCTCTAGCAACTTGGATTATAGAACCAGAAAAAGGTAATGAAAAAATATATCCAACGTCTTTGGGTGAAACCATGACAATTTTATCCTTTAGATGAAATTGGTAATTACCAATATATCGACCGACCAAATCGTCCAGATGGTATGAATTAATATTCAAATCTACTTATTGAAGAAATTGATCAAATTCTAAAGTCTTAATTTTGCTAAAAAAGACAGGTGGCAAAAGATCACGAACATCATTTAATGTCGACATATATCCATTATAACAACATCGAAGCTATACTAACCAATGAGCTGGGATAACAGAAATTTGGAATAAATTTCAAAATCAACAATACTATTAAATTGATATAAACTAAACAACATTAGAAATACTTACAATTCATAGCCCCACGTACATTACCTTTAGGAAAAACCCTCTGAGGAATATGTTTGAGAAATGTACATTGCTCTTCAAAAGATATTGAATTTGTTTTCTTAAATTTCTATCCTGATAATATAAAGTGATACGCGGTTAAAGTATTCACTAAATGAAATAGAAGTAAACAATCCAAACTAATAATTAGAATTCATAAAATATTAAAATAAATAAATAATAAAAATTACAAGACTAACTCTTAATTGATGTTGATGGTTTATCCGTCATTGGAATAGTTCCTTCCATAGGATTAGAATATGTAATGAAAGCCATCAAAATTTCATATTAATACTAAATAATACTATTAAAATAGACCACAAAATTAATTAAAGGAAAATAAAATGTAGTGTGTAAATACGAATTTCAAAATAGAAATATTTAATAAATATTATTAAATTATTAAAATAATTACAGTATTAATTATAAAGACTTTTAGATCGTTTACTATTATATGTAATATAAAGAAATATTTAGTTAAGAAATTACATATATTTGTCAATTAATAATTAAAATAGAATCAGAAATATTAATTATAACAATTCTGAAAAATGTTTAATTATTAGACACATAATTGTAATCAATACCATCGATATTAACATCGTCTGAGGTAGCAGCTATAAGCGATTGTATCCGTTTCCGTTTTTGTGGAATATTGGACAAACTATGAGTAGGGACACCACTGGTTGCGGAACTGTTGGGGCGATTTTATGACCGAAGAGAGTAATGGATTCATGAATAGAATAGTCCGAAGTTAAAGATATAGGTGGATTTAATGAATTTGTAGGAATAGAAACAAAATCCATAGGACAAGAACAGCTAAAAATAACCAGAAAATAAGAAATGAGTTAGAGAAAATTCAGGCAACTACAACCAAATTAAATAGAATCACAAACAAAAATAAATAAAAATTCCAAAACACTGCCGGAAGAACAAAAATCAATATAGCGAAACAGGATTAAAATTTTACTGATATAATTTTCATAACAAAGGGAAAAAATCATTTGTTGAGTATTCAGAAAACTACTAAACAAAAAAAAATAACTTACTACTGCTATGTAAAAAAAATTCAATATCAAACACATAGTCAGACAAATTTAAAAAAACTGACTACTGTTATTCAAATACAGATATGATGAACTAATATATTGCACTACAAGAAAAGAGGTCTACAGCGACGATTTTAGCGACGATTTTGGATCGTCGCTAAATTACAAGAAGGATTTTGAAGAAAACCCGCGATATTAGCGACGATATGAATATATCGTCGCTGATTATCTTTTTTTTTGTTTAATTAGCGATGATATGTTGATGATCGTCGTTAGATATAACATTTAGCGACGATTTAAAATTTATCATCGCTAATAACACTAATAACACTAATAATTTAAAATAAAAAACTTGGGACATTGTCAACAAGCCCCTCATTTAAAATAAAAATTATTTTAAAACTAAGTTTTTTTAAAATAAAAAAACCCCCAAATCGTGTTATCCCCAAAACGTTAACTTATTTCCCCAAATCCTTCCTCAAGTTAAAACCCCAAATGCTTCATCACCTCCAGTCCAACGAGCGGCGATCTTCCTGTCTGGCAAGCGGCGATCTTCCTGTCCGGCGAGCGTCTTCCTGTCCGACGAGGCTTCCTATCCGCCGACGAGCAACTTCCGTTCATTCCAGACAACTTCCGTTCATGTAAGGTGTATTGGAATTTAAAGAAAAAGAAAAGAAGGCAGAGGCAAATCATGTTGGTTAGATCATGACCAAGATTGGCAGACATCAGGTAAGAGGTTAGATCATGACCATGGGGAATCCAGTTTAGTTTTTCGTAAGATATTTGCAGGCACGGAAATTTAAAGGTAATTGTATTATTTGCAATTTCATTATCAGTAAATGACCAAATGTATTCGAATAACCAAAAATTTATTTTATCTCAGATTAGGTAGATGTTCGACTAGAAATCGAAAATATTATTGATGACGGAAACAAACGATAACTGTAAATAACCAGTACAACGTAGAGCCAAGCTTCGAATATTTGAAGAAGAGAAAACAACGAAGAAAAATATAAAGATGAACTGTAGAAAAGGAAAATAGTCGATGTCGAAATTAAGAAAATAAGCTAACATCGATAAAAAAAACAGATTGCAAACACCTATGAAAGGACGACGGATAGCGACTGTATTGAAATCGATCTAAACAATGAAAAATACAACAGACCTGAGAAGAAGATGATCCAACTGCAGAAAAATACAACTCAACTGCAAAAAAAATGACAACAACAGATACCAACTACAACATAATCACTGATAAAAAATGGGTTCTAAAAGAGCGAAGCCGCATTAAAGACACAGGGACGGAAGATGATGAAACGAAAGAGATAAACAACAACAATGTCTAAATAGTCAGGAGGACAAAACACTAGCAGGAGGATGAAGGTTTACAGAGGATGTAAGGTTTTTGATAGTAGAAGGGTAAGGAGGTTTTAGAGATGAAGACGGAGGTACTATAAAGCAGTTTCAAGAGGGAAAGTAGAAGATAGGAGGAAGACGACTTGATAATAGAAAATGGGAAGTAAAAGGGTAGGTTAAATAGGGAGTTATTGAGATGGGATGACATGATTGATTTTGCTATCTAGCTAGGGTGCAACAATTGTCAGTAGGGGTAGTAGGGTAATTAGTAGTACTAGCTATCTAGGATTAGATTTTAATTACTAACTTTAATTACGTTCGCATGGTGAGAGGTGCGCGTGTGATGTGCACTCATAATAAACTACATATACTAATTGCAAACAAATCTCAAATGTTTTCAAATAATAAACATCGACATTAAATACAATAACAAAATACGGAATAAAATACAGTAATTAAATGATCAAATACCAGTAAGTAGTTGTGAGTTCCTTTATTGTCTTCTTCTTTCCTTTTGTTTTCATTTAATCTATGATACATATGTGAAAATACGAAAATATTTTAGACTGTGAAAATAATTTAGAATTTTCAATACGAAAATACATATGAAACAAATATTTTGAAAAATCAATCATTTTTTATTTCAACGTCAAAAAAAATAATGGATAACAATGTAAATATCAAAATCATTTTTCAATGACAATGAGGTAGAAAAATCAACCATTTTTTGAAAAACCAATAATTTTTTCAATAAATATACTCATTAAAGGGGTGAGCGGTGTTCGAAAGAACGTATAAATATCTGACGAGATAATGAAAATCCTTCGTTGATAGTCGAATTAGAAAATGGGTTGGAGAAAAAGAACGACAGTGGACGTCATTCGACAATAGGTTACGCACAATGATCCAGAAATAATCATAGACGATGGCCTTTTCGAACGGATGTCGATGGCGGATTTGAGGGAATGATCGGGTGAGAGACAAAAGAGTTTTTGGAAGGGAAATGAATATGTGTGATATTTTGAATTTTTTATTCTCAAACACTGTAGTATTATACCTCTTCATAGAATAGACAGTTGTGGGTCAGAGTCGGGTATGGGTTATTGTTGGACCTAGCAAATCCCCTATAAGATAGAAAATTACAAAAAAAAAAAAAAAAAAAAAAAAAACCTTCTCAATTGTTAAGGGAATAAATGCTATTTTATATAAATCATCTCTCAATAGCAGCAAGGCGACGTGAAGCTGACTAGGTGTCGAGTCGGCTAAGACACTTGGGATGGTAGATGTCACAATAAGAAACGTTGAATAGATCTATAAGTTTAACAACAATGCAAAAGATTCAAGCTAAAACATTAAAACGTTTAAAAAAAAATGTATAGATTTTATATAATTTTTTTAAAACAATATAGGTGCTGTGGTGTAGTCGGTTATCACGTCAGTCTTACACACTGAAGGTCCTCAGTTCGAACCTGGGCAGTACCAATTTTACAATTTTTTTTTTTTTTTGGGCATTGAGAATAATCAATTAAGAATTAAAAGTTAAAACCCATGCTCTGGTATACGAGGAGTTTAAATTTAATCTCCGATGAAGCCGTGAACCCATCGATAAATGTTTTTTTTTTCCCTTTATTCTTATTATAATTGGTAACTCTAAACCGGTGAGGGGACGGTGACAGGATCCGAAAATCACGACTATTTCCCTCTTATCTCCCATTCTCCCAGTTATCCCGAATCCGATGGAGACAAAATAAAAACCAAAAATTCATTCACATCTCTCAAAATCTTTTGTTCTCCCTACGATTTTAAGTTCTCCTTGTAACCGCAACGTCTCGGTCGTTTCGGATCGGAAGAAGAGCTTGGAATTCAGGTTTCTGTATTCTAGGGATCTCGGTGATTGGACATGGAGTCGAGGGATTTTAGCAGGGATGGAGCACCCGCCAGTGTGGAGGTGGCAGTGGAAGAAGAAGGGATTATTCCTGTAACCACTTCTCTCGCTAAAAATTCGGCTTTTCTCTTCCATTCCAGACGTTTCAAGGAGTGCGCAGATGTGCTTGACAGTCTTCTGACGAAAAAGAATGATGATCCCAAGGTACGGGGGTTAGGCTGGTTGGTTGTAATGTCATTTGGCTAGAGAGGATTTTGGGGTTGGATTTAGATTTGTAGTTCGTTTCTTTCTATTTTGATTTGTAAATAAGGTGCAGTTATTATAGGTTTCTGTATCTAAATGCATGCTTCAAGATTTGTTTTTTCGAATCTGCATTATGTTAGTAAATCGTCTATACTCCATACCAAAAACTTTACCTCACAAATTCTGTCGCATCACGCTGAGTTTTTTTTAATTGAAAGGATTGGATTCACAGAATTTAGAAGTGGTTAGAAGTTAAAAGGTTTACAGAAAGAATTATGATTGGGCGTTTGTCCAGATACAAAGAAAATTAAATGTTTCTTGATAAAATAGAGTGGGAAGAAAGTACTCATGTTGTTGATTTCACATGGTTGGTAGAGGTTTTGGACCTCGGTTTATGTTGCATTGTTGTCTACCTGTCAGATGACATTATTATTTTATAATAGCCATCTACAAGTTTGCCTTAATGTCTAATTTACATCAAGAGCGTGATTATTTATATGGACAGAAAGATTGTCTATATATTTTAGGCAATCATCTTTTTTTTGTCTATTGAATAATCTACTCTATCAAAAGACATGAGAAAATTACCTTTGAAAAAATCTTCTTCATTATACTATACATTTCTACTGTGAAGATGTGCAGCTAGTTTTCTTGGATGTATGTTTGTTAGTTATTACAAAATATATGGTTCCTTTTGCGTTATCTGTTATCTTGGATGTTCTTCAATTCTTCATATCCTCGATTTCTAATCAACTCTTTTGTTTTAGGTCATTCATAACATTGCTGTTGTGGAGTACTTTAAAGATGGGTGTTCAGATCCTAAAAAGCTACTCAATATGCTTGCCAGTGTGAAGGTAACAAAGTTACATTTTTTGTTATCAATATCTAAGGTTATCAATTTATCGCGTGATTATTTTTAAGGTGATTTCCCATTGAAACGTCATTTGGATTTCTGTTGTACACATATATTGTTACCATAAATGCATAATCCCACGATCATTAGGAATTCCGGCGTGATTCAATAGGGTTAGTAACACAGAACATATGCAAATGAATAAAATGATAGTAAAGCAAACTCACCACAGAAGGCACAGATGTTGATGAATAAATGCCGTTCATACTTGATAGCCACTAGCACTGAGAGGAATTAGGCAAGGTGACCCTCTCTCATCTCACCCATCCTGTTTGACATAGTAATTGATATGTATGCTAAGCAAGCTAATAGAGGCAAAGAGGATAGATAGTTAGATACATATAAAGTTAACGGAACAACATCTATCTCACATTTGATATATGCAAATGATGTGCTGATTTTCTCAAAAGCAAATGCCAAATCCCCGAATACAATAAAAAAGCTATCGAAAAATTCTCCTTTCACTCAGACCTAGAGATCAATTTTTTTTTTTGAAAAATGAGGGGCATTATCCTGAAAAATACAATGAGCATAAAATATAAATATGGATATTGTGACACTTTCCACACAGCCATGCTGCCTAGAAAAAGACTCTAGACTATCTGCCTCCGGAGGTTGGTCTCCCATATCGCTACCTGTCCCTAGAAAAAGACTCGTCGTACATCGCCACCTGTCCCTATAAAGCATCCTAGGCTTCACCCCTAAGTCACTCCCACCCACTTATCTAGGACTACCAATAACATGTAAGAAAAAAATCCTATAACCAATGTTGGAAGCTAATCCAACCAACAGAGGCTATGTTAGAAAAATGGAGTGGGATGTGTCTCTCCTATTGGGGGAGAATCCAACTTGTATAGAAGAATGTCAACTTCATAAAGTTTATTGCCGGTAAAAGTTTGTTAATTTTTCTTTGTTTACCTTTCATTTTTTTTTCTCATTTAGTTTTTATAAATTTCTTGTATGTAAGATCAGTTACACATTTTTTAAATTAACATAATTCTGGTAAAGCTAATTTGGATTTGACTTGTTATTAGTTATCATATATTCATACCATAAACCTGCATGTTTTATTTCTATTAAGTCCCAAAGCATCTTTGTATTTTATTTAAGTTCACTTCTCCTATGATAGTTTTAGTCTTTTAGATACTATGGACACTATGGAGATTTTCTTGTCTAGACATTAGGTTTAAATGGAAGTATTCTTTTCTTTCATAAAATTTATAAATCCTTCGGTTATAATAGAAAAACAGCGAAGAGCTTGCGCATGCATCTGGAGAACAGGTAGAATTCAGTGACAGCGTTGCCTCACATCAGTTTACTATTACAAACATTGGCAGCATTGCTTATGCAGATGAATTTGACACTTCCATAATGAAGCTGAACATGGTATAATTGTACACTATTTGGATAGTAGTTTATTTAATTTTTTTAGATGATTGAGGTGTGATAATAGTATATCGTGATTAGAAAATTAACTTTTCATTTTAAATTACAGGCAGTTGTTTTCAATAGTCTTCATGATTATGCATGTGCTTTATCACTCTTGAATCCACTATATCACAATATAGAACCTATAGATGAGGTATGATTTACATCTTGAGATTATTATATTCCTGTATCATGATTATGATCTAATACTTTGATAGTTTCATATATATATATATATTTTTTTTTTATCTATTTAATAATGTTAAATGAAAATTTGGATTTTTACAGACCACAGCTCTACATGTATGTCTCCTCCTCCTTGATATTTCGCTAGCTTCAAGAGACATGTCAAGAGCTGCAGTAAGTTCTTGTTTTTTTTATTCTTTATCAATGACCATGTTTATTTTTTGAAATGATGCAGTGCAGATTTCAATATTAGGGGTTCTCTTTTATAATGATTTTAATATTTTGTAATGTTACTATTTATATGGCTAGTCATTTGATTTCAAATACCATATTTTCAACAATCTGATTAAAGAATTTAGCCATTTTAATCATTTCACTCTATTAAGAGCATCTATTTTTTAATCACTTTGTTTCTCTTTTATCGTTCAGTGATTATTGTTGTCATTTTTTCATCAGCATTTTATATAATTTGGGATTGTTTTTTATTGACATTCTGTCTCAATTCTGTATACTACTAATTTTCAGGATGTAATTCAATATTTAGAAAGAGCATTTGGTGTTGGAAATATATTAAGTCAGGAAGATGATGGTGTTACTGCCCATCATTCATTTTCAAACCAACCAGTTAAAGTACCTGTATCTTCTTCAAGTGGAATCCTTGTACCTGAGGGACCAGATTCAAGCAGTGTCATTAATACTTCTGAAACAGCGCCAACAGGAACCTTATCAGATTCGATTGAGTATGAAAATTTGCTATCAAGATTGGATGACTGTGACAGTGTAGATAGTCTGAATAGGGAAAGTTCAAATGATATTCCAAGAAAACCAACTGACATGTCAGTTCCTGCCATTGATTTGAAACTGAAATTGCAACTGTACAAGGTCCGTTTCTTGATTCTTGCTCGGAACATGAAGGGTGCCAAGCGAGAAATTAAGATTGCCATGAATAATTCACGTGGAAAAGATTCTTCTATGGCACTTCTTTTGAAGGCTCAGTTGGAGTATGCTCGTGGGAACCATAGTAAGGCCATTAAATTGTTGGGAAATCGAACAGAACCAAAATTTTCTAGTATGCTCGATAATAATCTTGGATGCATATTTCATCAACAAAAGAAATACAACTTATCTACAGTGATGTTTTCTAAGGCTTTAGAAAGTTCACCTCTTCTAAAGCAGAAGCCATTGACGTTAAACACATATTCACAAGACAAGTCTTTTCACATTATTTATAATTTAGGACTGGCAAATTTATTCTGTGGGAAATCGTCGTCGGCAGCTTCCTGTTTTAAAAGAGCTAGTAATTTTTTCCCCAAAGATCCCATTCTATGGCTTCGATACGCAGAATGCTGTTTATTGCCGAAAGAGGGATTTCTTTATTTCGATGGTTCTTCATTTTCGCAAGCTGAAAACATTCACGTTCAAGTTCTTGGTTCCGGGAAATGGCAACATTTACAAATCGAGACAAATTCAAGAAATATCTTGGCAAAAGACAACAGTCTAGCAACCAATGATTTTCAACCCAGTGTGTCTGTTGACTTGGCTCGGAGATTCCTTCTAATTGCACTAAATCTTTTGAATAAGTTAATTAATTTGAAGGGTGATGGAAATTCAACTATGGCCACTGAAGAAGATAGATCCATCGAGGTACCAGAAGAAGTGAGTATTAAAAACTCAAACCGTAAATCTATACCGAATTCTGATAATCAAGAAATCAAGATTGGCCTTGCTTCAAACGGCAATATTTTTTCAAGCTCGGTCTCTTTTTATGAGGACATGTCAAAGGAAGAGAATCTTATGATAATGCAGGCTGTTCTCGCTAAGTTGGCA